GCTACTCTCTGTGTAGCATAGTGCACTGGTCGTCGCCATCATGGATAATAGCGCGTTGTGACAAACACCAGATACAGCACTGGGACTTGATCAACAGCCGATACCGCACCGTGACGTCACAAACCAGTAGGTGGCAGTAGTGTTCTTTGACAAACATGGATGCCTCCAGTAAAGCACATTCAAATGAAAATTACTCTGAATTAAAACACATATTATTTATTGAACAGTATGTAATAATTTCATACTTAAATTACTGTCAGAAATTAGAATTCTAAATGTGACCAGACGTTTCCTTTAACAAGCATCTTCTCACTAATCTAAACAGTGGTGCACCTCATGGCAACAAATTCATTTTAAATTTACTAATGATCCAGAACATGTGCAAGTTTTAGCTACAGGTGTAGCAAAAACCTGAGGTGTTCAAGTCACATTTCGGGGCAAAATTTCCTGCTTGGTGGAGGTCTGTGCTCTCAGAATGGTTTTCTAGGCTGTGATGTTATTTTTTTTCTATCTTTTGTCAGTCACGTGTGGAGCACCACCAGAGGTTGAACATGGCAGCCCGATGGGCAGCAGCAGAGAGAGCTACCCCATTAACTCTATAATCCGCTATCAGTGTGACCCAGGCTTCACACAGCGCCACCTGTCAGTCATACACTGTCTGGCAAACGGACAGTGGGAAGAGCCACTGGTGCAGTGCATAGAAGGTGAGTTTTAAAGGAGGAAATGTCATGAAATGGGAAGGATGGATCCAGTATTCGAGGTAAGACAATCAGTAGGAAAGTTCAAAACGTTTATTAAAACAAAACAGAACAGAAACAGACTGCTGTGGAGCTGTGGACTTGCAGCGACTGCGGGGAAAAGGGTGCGGAGCACCGCCCAATCACTGATACTCTCTGGTGGGAGAAACACAGGCAAGTGACCATGATCATCTGATTGGAGATGATTATCATGTGAGTCACTTACCTGGTTTAACTGTTCAGTCCATTATCTGCATGGAAGGCAGGATCCATCTGATGGACTGCCGAACGGGTTTCAACTCAGAGTCCTCCAAGGTGTCCCTAACCAATGTAGCAAACACAGGGGACCAATCCAGTTCTGAGATCCAGTAGTCCTCAGCTCGAATAGGAGTTCCAATCCACACAGGAACAGACAGAAATAGGGTTTGAGGAATCCACAGAGCGCTCAGGACGGTTCAGAGATCCAGAGAGTCAAGAAGTGTGGCCAGACAGACACGCATAAATGCAGATAGGCTGGCTCAGATGCAGAGGGGCAGTGGTTGAGGCAACAGAGTCAAGATGTGGTACCAAGATTTCTGCAAGTCTTTAAACTGGTCTCCTCTTAGGAACCAGGCTCACAGGAATAAAACTGACCTTCCCAGCGTTCCGAGCCAAAACCCTGAGCGCTCCACTTAAAAAGGGCAGAACATGATCAGAAGACGAGACAAACACTAAACCTCTCAACCCACTGGCACCCAGGAACACATGAACTTTAGAAATAAACCAAACAACAAACAAAAAGCAAACAATGATCTGGCCTCGATGGCTGGGCTGGACCAAATATAAAGGAACAGACACAGGTGTATGACATGAGTCATAATTACTGAATGGACAAAGTTAGAAAGATGAGTGAAATTAATAATTTAGGCCAGCTATCAGCACAGATCATGACAGAAAGTCTTCAAATTAGTGTTTTAAACTTAAATTTTTATCTGTACACACAGAAATTACAAAATAACACTTCAGCAGTAATCCCTGCAGGCCACAAATGGGAAACACAAGCTGTTTCAAACATGCAGCTGTCCATTTTTGTTGTTTCGTGCCTTTATATATATATATATAGCGTCAAGCTCACTGTGACACACTTCTGCAGGAGTATAACCAGCCACACAATCGTTCTAATCTGAAAGACAAATGTGATTACAAGTAGGTCTGGTGTAACCTGACTCCGCCAGATGGATTTGCTCAGCATATCCATCTGGAAACCTTCAGTTGAAGTAATTTTGGGAAGGGGCAAAAATACTGGTTAGCTGATTGGCCTATGTTGGTGATAGACGGGCCAAATAAACCAATCAGATCAACGAAGCATATGACGTACTAACAGAGCGA